AGATGGGTTGGACAACCACGACGGACCGTTCCACCATAGCTCCGCTTTAGTCATACCACCGCCTCGGCTCCCCAAGTCAGCTGGGTTTTCAGATGTCGTCGATAAAAATTCGTTATTATTTATTTATTATTTATTATTTATACATGCTTCGGGTCTTCGGGTCTTCGGGTGGCTCTGGATCTTTTTAACCCGATTCGCTACGAATTGGCGGTACTCCCCGTCATCGTTCAGCCAGCCGTGTGTAAGGCTACAGTGCTGTCGAGCCAGCACTGTATATCCTCCGTCATATTGAAACCTTGTATTGCTGCCCGCACACTTGTGTGACTTGTGTGACTGCCATGTGACCCGCCACGAGCTCCAAACGAGGCAAGTCGGGATTTGGTGGCAATGAGTCCCTGTATCACACCTGATGCTTGCGTAACCACGGCAAACACAGTAGCACACAGACCACGATTACTTGCATCACCAAACGCATGGGTGAAGTCTGATATTTTGGATATATCAACAAAGTTGAAATGGTAAATTGGCCACCGTAACGTTTACAAAAGCTGACGTTTCGAGCGTTAGCCCTTCGTCGGAGCGAATAGAGGAATTGTGGGTTGTGTGTGCTTTTAAAGGCAGAAAATGGAGCTTTGTTATTGGTGGGAACATGGCAACGAGAAAAACACGAATAAATTAGTGGAATGAAAAGCGTTCGTTGATCCCTGTGGGATTTAGACTGCCGGTTTATCCCCCAGGGATCAACGTCATCCACTTTCCACTTTGTCCCATTTGAGTCCCAGTAGTTTGCACTCTTCAGGCACTGATGCCTTCTCAACGACACCCAGTCCAGCTGCTCCCGAATAATATTGTCGTACTGGGTCAGCATATCAGTTCTCTTTAAATTTCGTAGAAGAGAGTTCACTCTGCGCACGATGTCCGCACAGTTGTTGGGTAACTCAGGGCAGTTCCCCTTTCCAAGGAAGTCCACTCGGAGTTTCATCGCGACCGTCTGGACTTCTTGTTAGTTGTTCCTTGAAATCTTCATATACTTCTTGCTATGCAGATGGCCTTTCTTCCAATCCCAGAACATCCAGAGCGCAGAGTTGGTTGTGGTCAACAGCCGAATTCACAGCTAGGTAAACGTCGCCCAAGTCTGTTCCAGGGGACAGAATGGTCCATCCGAAACGCGTACACTCTGCTACGGGATCACCTCTACGCCCGACACGCAGACGTTCACTGGTTCGTACCTTTGCAAAGTCATTAGCACCAATTAGCAAGTGGACAGGTAAGGGGGGTTTCATATCATCGTCGTAGATTACAACACCTCTCTGGTGAGGGTGATTGTTCAAGAGTTCCGAATATCTTGGGTTGTTCAAGGCCAAAAGCTCCTTTTTCTCGTGTCGAAAAGGTGAAAAAGACGCTATACCACGCTTCCTTCCGGTTTATTGACGTCGAGTTTAAAATCTCCAGTCACAGAACTCATAACAACTTCAAAGACTTGCATGGTTCTAGTTTAAACGCCTGTGAGCAATGCGATTTGACTTAAACTGGTCGACTTGGGTTTTGCTTTGATTAAAATGATCGCTGTGGACAAAGCATTCGAATGGCTGACACCACTTTTCAACTGGACTCTGACTTTGTAGCCGCCCCTGTTTACAACCACGGCCGGATGAATAACACTGGAGCCTCCGATTAAATTTACCGTCATACCAGGTTCGTCTTTCCCTCTTGTCAAGGAATAATTACTTTTACCCATTGTCTAACGCGTGATGATATAGCTGCAAAGGTTTACCGAAAACCGAATTCAACAGCTTCCTCCAAGGTTGAGTATTGTACAGGTAGGTGAATAGTATAGGACGGCAACCTGTTCAAATTTACCGTCATACCAGGTTCGTCTTTCCCTCTTGTCAAGGAATAATTACTTTTACCCATTGTCTAACGCGTGATGATATAGCTGCAAAGGTTTACCGAAAACCGAATTCAACAGCTTCCTCCAAGGTTGAGTATTGTACAGGTAGGTGAATAGTATAGGACGGCAACCTGTTCAAATTTACCGTCATACCAGGTTCGTCTTTCCCTCTTGTCAAGGAATAATTACTTTTACCCATTGTCTAACGCGTGATGATATAGCTGCAAAGGTTTACCGAAAACCGAATTCGACAGCTTCCTCCAAGGTTGTGAGGTTGAGTATTGTGCAGGTAGGTGAATAGTATAGGACGGCAACCTGTTCAAATTTACCGTCATACCAGGTTCGTCTTTCCCTCTTGTCAAGGAATAATTACTTTTACCCATTGTCTAACGCGTGATGATATAGCTGCAAAGGTTTACCGAAAACCGAATTCAACAGCTTCCTCCAAGGTTGAGTATTGTACAGGTAGGTGAATAGTATAGGACGGCAACCTGTTCAAATTTACCGTCATACCAGGTTCGTCTTTCCCTCTTGTCATATCTTCTTGTGAGTAAATCTTTGGCCTTTTGGTAACCTACAGGCGTAAACGGAAACGAAATTTTGTGATCAGGAGTTTGGGCATTCTCTTTCCTCTATAAGAAGTCTTCTTCTTATACAGTAAAGTAACAGTCAACGCAAAATCTACCAAATCGCTCAAATTCGCCATTTAGAACCACAGAAACGACAATACACAGCAAGTGAGGTAGGTTTATATTTATTTTGAGCCTTAACATAGACATTCCTTGATATAAGTTTACGATATTACGACTCTTCAATATTCTCCTATACATTTCTTTATATTTCGAACAAACGACCTGACACGTCGCTTGTGTGGGCCCCACAAATGATGTGTTTTAACCTCAAATTCTTCTTTTCGAATTCCAATTCCTCCACATGTGCTCGCTCAATAGCTTCTTGTTTTTGCGCCATTTTCTCTTTTTCTAGTTCGACTTCTCTTTAGTGTTCGTAGAGCGCGCTTGTGTTTTGATTGCGATTGATTTGTTCGATGCGTCCTGCTAATTTGTGTGTACAGGCATCTCCATTAACAACTTGTTCAATTGCGTCGGCCCATTCTTGTACAACCTCATCGTTATCGCCGTTCGCGAACTTTTGTTCTTCAATGAATTCCTTTAGCTTGACTACTGCAGTCACTTCATCCTGGGAGACCCAGGGGCTGTGGGTCGATTTCAAGTTAGGGCGTGAAGAGCCCCTGGGGACATTGTCTTACAAGACTAGTTCCAAACGGTCGCAGTCGTTCTGCCATCTGATTGGTGCCAGAAAATCTTTGTTTTTCTGTCCAATCAGAGTGAAGTGTGCTTTAGAGTCCTTTCGTGTGTTTTAACACAGACATATACCACTAGCTCAGTGGCTCGCTATGTTTGTTTGGACCGTGCGACGGAGATTTGCTTGAGGCGAAAAGTTTCAGTCTCGGCACACAATGTAAGGGAAATCGATCAGATTGTCAGCGAAAATCTTACCGGAAATTATACTGAATACTTTCGCAGGTATCACTAGAGAACGTGTTTTAAAGTTTGCGAGGTTTGTATACAACACGATGGTTGCAGTCATTGATATGTCGCTTTAAACGTTAAAAGAGATTTAAGCTTAAATCTTTCTAAATTTTTTGCATAATTTGCTGTGACTGAAACTTTGCCAATCCCGTGAAGTTATTTCGTCGCACGGACCACGCAGGTATGTCGAGCAACTGGTACTTCCGCAACTTTCTGTGCGTGCCAAAATTTAATCTCATCTTCGCTTGAAAAAAAAGAAAAGCTAAGCGTGGAAACTTTTGCTTATTAGATGTGGGTAGATGACCCTGTACTACTAAGCTGACATTTGCAATAAAGGAAACCCGCCCTTTCCTTTTGTGAAAGACACTATACCACGCTTCCTTAATTCCGGTTAATTGACCCGTGTTTACGATTACCTCCCACTCGCCATTTCAGGAACAGGCTCTCAGCTTATTCGGATCGGGAACATAGGCATGCAGGAGTTATTTTTTTGGATTTGTGGGTGGAAATGGGACACTAAGTAACTGATGCTGATGTCTGAATAATTGTTGGTAAAAATAAACGGCATTGGTACCACGCTTCCTGCAGTCCCCTCTACAGCCTTAATTTGAACTCATCGCGCAACGCTTTCTCTCCAACGTTGCCTGACGAGACCAAAGAACGACCTACTCGTAAGCTATAATAATGCTTACTGCCCCTCTTCGTCAGAGACAAAGTCATAATTATCATTCTGGCCGTAGAGGGCCAGAATCAATATTTCCGTTTGGTTTTTCTTGTGCAGGAAATGTACAATAGGCGTTACGTAGCACCTTTTAATTGGCGTAAAGCAACGTGGTGGACCAGGCCTGGTGGTGTACATAGCCTGGGAACGAGGTTGAGGTTTGGCATCGGGTGTTAGTCAGTGCTGGGCCGCGCATAAACGATAGGCTTGTGACAGTTTATACTTATCTTTCGAGTGAACTTAAAAAATATTTATTAAAAGCACAAACCTAATACTGTGAATCACTTCTATTGTTAACGTACTGATGAAGACAACAACCGCAGGAATAGTAAAAGGTCATTTGGCTCTGATTGGTGCGACATACAAAAATGCTACGATCTGATTGGCTTGTGATACACCAGAAAAATTTCGCCAATCACATTGCTTTGAGATACACGAAAAAAAAAAATGCGCCAATCATTTTGCTTAGAGATACACCGAATTGCGCCGATTAGATTACTTACACCAAACACGCCACTTTATGCGCTAACATAGTTATTTAAAAAAAGAAAGAAAAAAAAACTCCAAAAGGACACTAAAAAACGTCTTGTATTATAAGCACGTGGAAGCAGGCCATATTTGGGCTAAAAAGCACGTGCCGCATACACGTTTGTTCGCTTATGTAATAGACAACGAAATCACCCACAAGGTCAATCAAATTAAAACTGATTAACGTAAAGTACACTTTCCAATAAGCAAAAGAAAAATGACTATCTACAGAGGTATCGTAGAATCAAGGGAGCAACTGCAAGAAATTGTTTTCAAGAAGGAAAACCAGTGGTACCGAGAGAAGTGATAATGCATACATTAAATGTTCCAGAGCATACGTTTCCTTTGCCTATCAACGAGGTCAATTTTGCTTCCACACGACTCGGAATTGACATCTTGACGTCATAAGGGCTCATGAGCTTCAAAAGCGGATGAAATAAGGACTTGATTTGGTTGTTTGAAGAAAGGAATTGTTGTCGATCGAAAAGAACAGTGCTCAATGGTTTCTTTCATAAAGCGGTTAGCCTCGAAATACGCCTGAAGGGAGAACTCGGCGAACTAAAAAAGTAAGTGGATGTTTGGATGATCAATATCGATTGTCTTGCAGTTGGAATCGTGCCCGTTATCTTAGCCTCAGTGTTGATGGTTTAGATAATCAGTTACATGAATTCATCACAAGCAGCTAGTTTCATCGGTATTCGACTGGCCCCGGAGAGATATTTGTAGCACCTCAGTCTTATGATGAATCAGTAGAATGCAGGTACACCACTCATGAATACTTAGATTCATTGGAACCCCTTAAGATGGAAAACTCTGTAAGACCTCATACGCCCTTTTAAATTAAGTTTTGTAAACACAACTTCCTCGGGAAATGAAACCCACATACCCACGCCACTGTCTTAAAGATATTGGTCAACTGGGCATTCTAGCTAATTGATTTTCTTCTAAAATCAATTAACGAAAGCGAAACTTCGATGAAATACCGTAATCAACTAACTTTAAACGAAACAACTTTTGAACCACTTTTAAAGAAATTAAAGATTAAAGAGCTATGATTTTGACTTTAAAATGCCTGACATAAACAGAAGTGTCACTGCATCATTCTAAGGGATTCTTTTATCTCTTTATCGAAGGCTAAATAACCTTGGTTCAGTTCAGTAGAACGCTCTCTGCAAAGAAGATATTCTCACGAAGCAAGAAACTAGATGAAATCTTCCAAACATTTTGTATCTAATACGTATTTTCTGTCTCTGCGCTCTCTAATATCAGCGAAAAATTCTGAGGTTGCCTCAACAACACCAATATTGCTCTTTGGTCTAAGATTTTGTCAGGCGTGTCTTCTGCTAGAAAGACTTGAAAACAAAAACGGAGGAAATGAGGAATGCTTCACTGAATTAAATGTAGACTAAATCAGTAACACTGTTGATATTCATCGTTGCCTTTATTCGTTATTTTTGCAAGATCGTAATGAAAGGTCGGATAACGTGGCCAAACTATTATCACTTTTCTGGCAAATCTTCGCGTGAGGAAAATGTCGTATTGGTTCGGTGTCATACTCCCTCAGATAATCCGTACAATTTAAGAATCGCTTGGTTGGAAATACAAAACCAATTACATGTAACGCTCACAAATTAACAAGTTCATAGGTTTCCAGACCAGAACTTACCACGTTTTTGTTGGATAGGAAAATCTTTATCTGACAGCTAAACCTCTGATTTGCATTTATTTCAACTGATGAGAAATAACCAGAGAGGACCCGTCAGCAAAAATTTGCTGTGATGTGACACCAATATAGATCGCAAAGGCTTTTAATGCGATAAACATGGGTATCACCCAATTGTCTTTGAAACAAAAATTCAAACATTTTATTTTAATCAAGCTAGAAACTATTTATGCGTCAGCACTATTCTTCCTGTAGCGGTAAAACTGACACATTTTTTGGTAATTTATGACTTCTTTGCAAGACACAATTTCTTTTAAATTTTCTGATATTGAATGTTTACACAATAGGATTGCCATCCAACGTCAGAAATAGAGCGTTTTTCGTGTAGTTTGGAATTTAATAATAAATGGGAGTGATCATGAAAATTTTCCATTTGTCTAAAGTACAAAACGAACAAACACCATTCTCTGGGACATGTCCTGTGAACAACCACACATATGCCGATCGATGACATAGAGAATAATTTTTCTCGCCCACCATTTCTAATAAAAGGTATTAGCTAAGTTTGCAAACAGATCCATTATCTTCGTAATATTTCCTTGAGGTGTGGTGGTTCACCGCAAAGTTTTCCCCACTCTTTCGGTGAAAAAACGAACTGATTTAGCTGACCGTCTGGGCAGTGTAAAGGAACAGCCCCGAGGGTGAACGCGCTAAAACGGCGTCGTTTTTGAAAAGTTTCGTTTACAGGTCAATGTGCTGCCAGCTATTTTAGTAACCTTAATGCAAACCAAATACAGTTTCGGTCAATGTGATCAGTAGAGCAATCCACCGCAGAGTTTTGTTATTCGAAATTCCGTGCGCTGATTGGTCGGCGGTGTATCACGATGTAAAGAATGTGTCAATCAACGCCAGCTGTTTAGAGAAGAACGGAAACGCGTCGCCCACAACAAACACACCTTTGGTGCTCTCGAGGCGGTTTCTGTACGAAAGTCAGACATTACACAATCTTGAGTTTCTTGTCGGGAGGTCTTAAAGAACAGAACTTGTCAAAGTGTTGGAAATCATCCTAATTGACTTTTCATCGAAGACTGTGGGGTGGAAATAAGGTGAGATTTTGCCAAGATCAAGGAGTCAAAGTTCTGTTTTATTTGTTCGATGGCTACATAACGATAACGAGTGCTTGACTCTGATTGGAATAGCCTTCTACCGCTTTTATTTGTTCGGTAAATCTTTTAGAAGAGCCAGTGGCCAAGAGTTTTCAAGACGCCTTGATTGCGACTCCCAGATTTAATCTGAGAGAACAGAAAGCAAAGTCATGGAGCACAAATGTACGCAAATTTGGTTCGCTTTGCAAAATCTTCATGCGCTAACTCCACTTTATAACACGTTTTGAAAATTCAGCAGGAAGTTGTTTGTCTAGAACTCTGTTGTTTCTGCAGGAGATAAGCTGAAAATTATTACTCATGTGAGCTTGACCATTGATACCAGAGGTAACTATTTGAAGCAAGTGAATGGTCTTTGGTCGGAATGCTTTATAAAAGTCATTTCTAGAAGATTGTGTGAAAGCTCACCTTGCCTTTGAGTGCTTGAAGTTACTCGTCACTGACGTTTGAGATACTTGAAAAATAAATGATAAGTTGAATAATTTCACGGTTAGCTAGGGTTCTTTTCCTTAGTGATATTAGTTTTTGTTTTTGCTTAATAGGAACGCGCTCGAATTTTGATGTCAAGAACTGGTCAAAATTCTCTTCTCAAATACCTCATTTACGCGTTCGCTTTGTTTTCCTTTCTCATCAAATTTATGCAAGAAAGGTTTTTAGAATATAAATGAACTTTTACAAATTAAAATTATTATTCCACCGGTCTATATTGGGAGTGTTTACATTTGCGCTTCAAATTGCGTCCTAATAGTCAATATCGCAAAAGGTCTTGTATAGATAACAGACTTTTTTTCCTCCCGGAATTCTCAAATTTGGAGGATGAAAAAGTTTTATCGCGGTTTTGAGGAGATGACTGAAGGTGATTCTTGAACTTTACAAAACGCCGTGTTTTGCTTGTCATGTTATCCTTCGACAAGCATTGACCTCAACCATGGGCGTGAGTTTCCGTTGACAACAGGTTGCTGATTGTATTGTAAGTAAAGAATTGTTAAATCACAGTATCGATCCAGAAATCCGTTGAAAATTGTGGCCGAAATGCTAGAAAGAACGATTTGGTTGAAACAGACTCGCCAACACATCGTATTTGGCCATTGTTTCGTCTTGTTAACTGATAAGATCTATTTTGAAGGTTGTTTATGGCTCTCTTAGAACTCGCTCGCTCTTCAGCTCAGGCGGGTCTGACGTTTTTTGAGCGGAAAGAAAAGTCACGCAATTTGTTTTAGTTTGTGGATTGGCGTGAAGCTTTCATGATAGTATCAGATTATTCCAGAAGGTCACATTTTGTATTTCGATCTTCGAACCCGGTGATTGTGAATTTTAAATACATCGTGAGTATAGGGTAGAATATCTGAAATCAAACCAGGGGAAAGTGACTTGAGGAGGTCATTGCCGTGTTAAAGGCATTTGGAGATTGTTGACTGATATGAAATGAGATTACAAAATGGCGTTAATTAGCTACTAATGAGTATGGCATCGAGAACATTTTGGAACGAAAGAATTATCCCGAGCACAGTACCGCTTGAAAGTTTAGTGCTTTGAGAAAAAATATCACGATGAAATGTCACTCGGATTTTGTTTGGGAAGACATCAAAATTTTGAACAGTCTTCGACAGATTGAAAGCGGCTTAACTTCCTTTCGGCATTTGATCAGATATTCTTCATAATTAGATATTTTAGGCACACGTAACTAACTAGAAAACAAGGCGAACTACAGTCAAATTGAACGTAGATGTTGTCATTCATTTCAAATCAAACTCTTTCAATGCCCTAATGAAGTTTATATTGTGTGTTGAAGTTGTGATTTGAAATTGACTTGCACATTGAAATTAAAGTTTGAACTTGCTGTTTTAATTGTAAGAATAAATAATTAAAGAGCTCTTTTAAACTTGATTAAGAAAATCAATTTCACAGCTTAAGTTTTTTGTGGACAGAGGATTTGGTTTGGGATTATTTAAACCCACAGTTTCTCTTTGTCATGAGATATCATTATATGGGCCTATTGCCTCAGTACTTTGTACTCAATCCCTTAAATGAACTTTAAGTTGCAGTCAAATTATACTTATTCAAAAAATTTAAAATTTTCCTGCTAAGTAACAACATTTTTCTGGTAATGAAAAATTAATGATTTTTGTAGACTCTGCATGTAATTTCATACCTTTGGAACTACAAATTAAGGTTTCTCTCCATAGCAAAGCATGAATTTGGTCATCAATTCCAAGATGCTGTTTAAAATGACTTACTTGAATGACAATTTGGGGGGTTTTTACTCTCTTAGGAGATAAACCATTGTGTAATGGATATTTTTTTTCAAATTTCTGATATATATGACAATCAGAGTGATCTTAGAGTTATCTTCACAGTAGTGAGCGGTCACAGTTGTTCTTTCTGATTCATGAGAGTACTTTTCAAAAACCAGGAGAAGCATCCCTCTTATTTCTGTGGTGTTCATGTACGTGGAATACAATTTATCCTTGCTGTTGTCAACTTACAAATTCTTCTCAAATTATAAATTTTGAGTTTCTTGCAGATAAGTGATGTGTCTTGATTTTTTGGTCTTCTAAACCCTCAATGAAATCCTTTACTTTATAATAAATGAACCAAATTTCCAAGGTAATTTATGATACTCGGGGGTTTGTGGAAAGAATATGACATCAAGCAAAATGAAAAGCTTTCCAAGTTCCAGCTGCATGATCTTTGTCTCTTTGCTATGGATGTGGTAGAAATATTTTTTATTTAAAAAAAAAAACAAAAACAAATGTTAATTAGGTTACCATTCCTATTCATGGAAGAACTTGTTTAAGTCTATGATCACTGCTTAACAAAGGAGGTATTGTAGTTTTGGGCTGGTATGACAATAGGGTTAAAATGCAATCTTAAATTGGCTGAATATGTCTCAAGGAGTCTGTTATGTTAATCGTGTAACTCTCTTTTTCCCACGGGAAAAAGAGAGTTACACGATTAACATAACATAGCCTGTCCACCCAAAGAATATATCATTATGTATGGTCCCATCAATCAAAGCAAGGGTAGCTTGAACTGCAGAAGTGTTTGAGGTTATGACATGTATACGCTCATTTAAAACCTTTAGAACTAATGCAACATCACATCCTTGTTCATAATACTCAAGGTCTATTTCGATATGAATCAAGTATTGGATGCATTGATACCTACGTACTGTATTTAAAATCCTTGTGGAAGGATCAAGTCTTTTATCCTAAAGCAAACTTAATTATCAAAGAGTGTTGATTTCTTAAAAGTGAAGTATTGTGATTTTTTTTTTTACAGACACATCAATGTGTGGATAAATTTCAAACCACAAGATTGTTTATATGACCTAGACAACAAGTGATGCAAGATTTTTTCAGGGGAAAAATGAACTTCAGAATATACATTTTTTGCCTGTTCATAACACTTATATGTGGTAAGGAACTGCTGGAAGGGCAATACAGAAGACTACCAAATGCCTTTGCTGTTGTTGGAAGATGTTTTGAGTATAATTTGCCCCCCTGGGATGGCAGCCAACAGCAATATAAGGTATTTTAAAACAGATCAACATTGAATTGGATATCACTTAATCCAAGAACATATATAGGGGCTTCATTGATGTTTTCTGCAGGAGGGCAACTGGTTTTCACAGGCGGGCAAAACTCTTTGAACTGAACTTCTTTATAAGATAAACTTTCCTCCAGACCGTCAAATCAGGTGGGCAAAACCATCCTCACAACCGGTCAATTTGCCCGGTGCCTGGCCCTTAATGAAACCCCTGCATATAAAAGTATTAAACAGAGTAGACCTGCTCTTCGAGTTTAAGTAAAATGTAAGGTCTGAATGTTTCCATTGAGAGTTTATAAAACACATTGCTAGACTTAATCTTAAAATCTTCCCTCAACTACTTTCAAAAGTGGAAACACTGGGACTGCTTTAATTTTATTCTTACTTTTCAAAGATGAAAAACCCTTTACGTTATGAAAGACTAATTTTATTTCGCTATACAGGATTACTAGTAAGTAATTATCATAGCTGTTGAAGATAAAATTCATGCAAATATGAGAGGATGTAATTTGTCACAAAAATTCACTGCATGATTTCAGTGAAATTCACACCTACAGTAACTGTCATGTTTTGTTGAACAGAATTAAAAAAAAAAAAACAAGTTTTCTCTTCCCTTATCCTTGGTTCACAGTTTGAACTATCATCTTAAAATCACTAAGACCTTTTGTGTGAAATGTGTTTAAATTAAATGTACTTATTTCTTTAAGTCAAACTCTTTCTTACAGTAAGTAGCACTAATTTCATCTAAACTCTTTTCAGCCATCATGGCTCATTGCAAGATGGCAGCCAATTGCAAAATGCAGCATCGTCTCCCACAAAACTTTTCATTTGGTTAATTGTTGTTGTTTTCCTGTAGGCTGTAGAAAAAGGTAAAACAGTGTTACCCAAATGGCTGTGGTTTGATGAAGCCAGTTACAAACTTCTTGGTGTACCATTATGGCGTGACAAAGGAACAGTTCAAGTTCAAATCCAGACAAAACATGGGGACAGAAAAACAGAATTCTCAATCACTGTTCAAGATTTGCATACAGTGTTGGAGAACAGGTCCATCATGTCAAATGAGACAAAGATTCCATCCTTTGTAGAACCCAAATGCCCCAATGGACTCTCTGTGGCTGTTGCTACTGTCCAGTTTGATCTGCATATAGATAAGCTCCATGGAGAGGACAGAATAAATCTTATGAGAAAGTTGTCTGACTTTGCTGACGTAGGCACACTGGAGTTGCATATGGCAGTCGGAAAAGGACACAGCACAGCATTTGGGTTGAAAGATGTTATGACCATCACAGCAGGGCCAGGAAATGTGGCAGATTCCAAACAGCCGGGTGTGGTGGTTTCTTGGAAAATTGGCTGCGGAATTGACTTGTCAGGTGTGTGCCGCATATGCAGTCAGGAGAATCAATCACCCTTTCATTCCCAGTAAAGACTGAAAAAGGAATTTCTCACCGTAATATCAAAACATTTTTAATTAACACTCAAAACTTGTGGAGAAGAGCAAGGAATGTCAGTGATATATATTTTTTTATCTAAGACTTAATCCTCAGGGTTGAAATTATGAGAAATGCATGGCAGAATGTGAATAATTGTTATTTAGTTCTTGGGGCACACAGGTTTAACATTCTAAGCCTTAACCTGTCGCCAGGCTTGGTAGATCCTTGAAAGATCCTTCTAGGATCCTTTTAAGATCCTTGTCTTTGAGGATCTTTGACAGGTCTTTGACAATCCTCAAAGATCCTTAAAGATCTTGTGAGTTTTTCACTAGGGCTCAGAACTAGATATGTTCTTGGCTGATCAAATTGATGTTAATTAATGTTTTTTTCCCCCAAGGAATGTATGTGACCTCACTCTTAAAGTCCAGTTCTGAGCATGGGTCATTTAAACAAACCTTGAAGGCACCAGTCAGCGGGTGGCATATTACCACTGGACGGCCTAAAATTCAGCAGAAAAGGGTACGCAGACAAGCTGCCAATCTTATGCCAACTCCAACTTGGACCGACACGATGCCAACTCCAACAAGCATGGCAGCTCCACCAACCATTTCAGTTACACGCACTACAATAGCTCCAACACCAACAATCAATGTTGACACAGGAGCACCTAGACTTCTTAGAACAATCCCCCCTATAACTTTTTTCTTAGGGATGGAAGTTCGCTACATGATCCCAGAGGACACATTTTATGATGACTGGGAAGCTGTGTTCACTAGAGATTTGCGGCTGGATATGAGGTATTTTAATGGATCACTTCTAAGTGAACTGCCACCTTCATCGTGGATATTCTTTGATTCAAGCACACAAGAAATTTATGGCATGCCCTTTGGTATTGACTTAAAAGGATCATACCACTTTGTTATCAGGGCTGCAGACAAAGCTGGAAATATTGCTTCATTTAACATTACTGTGGAAGTATCAGATCGAGCCTTCTTTTACAATTATCAGTTTACAATTGTCCTGGACTACAACTATGAGGAATTCGTGAATAATGTGAATATTCGTCTGCTGTTGATGAAGAAATTAGCAGGCTATTATGGTAATACCAAATCAATGCTATATGTGTCATCCTATACATACAAGCAAGGCTATCTTTTTCTCACCTTCCATTTTAAGTTGACAACTGCAGATTGTAATAGTTTGGAATTGAAGCGTCTTGTGGATGGCTTTGGTAAAAGCAAACTGAATCCTGAATTTCAGAAACATCTTCTGCCAGAATTTGATATCAAGTACAACTATCATGGAGGTGTTGGGCCTTGTAAAGCAACCCCACCCCCTGGGTCTAACACTTCACCTGTAGTGAACCAAGCACTTGGGCAGCTGAAAATAGATTTGGGACAAGGAATGCGCTACAAGATTCCATGGAACACATTCTATGACAAGGAAGACCATTACACACCCAGTTTAACCCTTGAATTAAGAACCAAAGACAACAAACCCCTTTCATCATCATCCTGGATAAATTTAGATGCTTCTCAACAAGAAATTTATGGTCAACCTATTGATTTAAGCTTGCTTGGATTACAGGAGTTTCGTTTGGTTGCCACTGACAGTGGTGGACTGGAAGCATTTACTAGTGTGAAGCTGTTAGTTTCAGAGGATACCAACCATTACAATCACGAGTTTAGTATTGTTCTCAAAGGAGAGTTTCACTCTTATGAAAACATGTCTAAAAATGTTGAAATCAGGGTTTTGCTGTTAGAAGCAATAGCGAAATACTACAACCTGAACCTCGGACAGGTACGCATTGTCAAATACCAAAAGGGCCCATCTTTTCATTTTAGATTTGATTCTATTCCATATGACGACTGTGCAAATGCTCTTTTACAAAGAATTATCAATGGATTCTGGAAAAGTAAGGAGATAAACCCAGAATTTGTAAAAGCCCTTGGCAAAGACAGTTACCGTGTAGACACTGGCTACTACTTTGTCACAGGACCCTGCAAAAATCTCAGTCCTGCAGTTACAGGGGCAGGACCAAAGGGTGACCGTATCAAAAAAGAAATGTATCAAGGGCAAGCACTTTACTTCCACATACCATATAATACGTTCTATGATGAGCAGGACTTCTATACACCCAACCTAAACCTGAGCTTAAGAACAGCGGAGGATCCATCATCCAATTGGATTTACCTTGACACCGAAAAACAAGACATTTACTGTTTACCCATAAGCATCAGCACAGTGAAGAGACATAGATTTAAACTAATTGCAACAGATAGGGATGGAATGGAGGGAGATCCTGACTTGAGAATAACGGTGAAAGAGAATACAGATAACTTCAACTACACATTCTCTATCCGTATTGATCACTATTCAGAATTTAAGGATGATGTTGTGATGTTGATTCAGTTGCTGGAAAAAATTGCCTGGTATTATGGATGGAACTATCAAAATATGAGAGTCTTCAGCCAAGAATCTGAGGGTTTTTTCACCTTTGGATTTGATACCATTCTGAACAAATGTGATGGTGAAGTCTTTCAAAAGGTGAAAGATGGGTTTTGGGAAGGTACAAAGCTGAAAACTGAATTTAAGGATGCCCTACTTCCGTTCCAAGTAACTTCAGGATTTTACACTTGTAAGAATTTGTGCTCTTGCAACTCACCACCAGTAGTAATAAACCCCATCAACAGCCTGTCAGTGTTTGAAGGACAAGCCTTGAAGTTTCTCATCCCAGGAGAGACCTTTTACGATGAAGAAGATAAATACACTCCGAATCTGAAGTTGGAATTAAAAATAGAAAAAGATGAAGAGCGCACATCTTCATGGATCCTACTTGATAACTTGCCAAAACAACAAATAACACTGCTGCCAATTGACAAGAACACAATTGGAACACATAAGTTTGAACTGATAGCAAGAGACTCGGAAGGTTTGGAAGGTCGGGATGAAATTGAAGTGAATGTGTTGGATGACAGAAGGACATATTACCACATGTTTACACTCAAAATTGAAGATGGATCAGCTGGGGATGATGTCAGTGCTAGAGTTCGTTTGGTGGAGTTGCTTGCTAACTACTTCAGGGTGGACTTCAAAAACGTCCGTGTTCGCAGTTATGGCTTATGGCCAGCTGTTGAAACCACTTTCCAATTTGTCCAGACCAACTTAAAGTGTGACAATCCAGAATTGCGAGAGTGGAGAGCCAAGTTTATGGAAAATGGACAGTTACCTACAGACTTCATTAATGAACTTAGCCCTGACTTCCGAGTTGTGTCTGGGTCATTCAAACTTTTGGATATCTGCAGCCCAGTGCTACCAATAGGAGTTAATAATACTGTGCCTGAATTATACAACCACATTGACCGTCTCAATGTATACCAGGGACAGGGTCTACGATTTTTTATTCCAAATGACACTTTTTTTGACAAGGAAGATTTGCTTACACCAAATTTGAGGCTGGAAATGCTGGCAATTGATGGTAATGCCCTTCTTCGCACATCTTGGATCCTCCTCAATTCTTCTCGGCACGAAATCTATGGTTTACCTTCTAATATCAAAACTATTGGGTTACACGAGTTTTTGCTGGTGGCAGCTGACAAGAAAGGAAGTAAGGCTTATGATGCATTTGAAGTAAGAGTGCTTGAAGACACAGTACTGTACAACCACAAGTTTAATATTTTGATAGACTATGACAATATTACCTTCATGGATAATGTTGGAATAAGGGTTGTCTTGTTGGAAAAGATAGCAGATTACTTTCAAGTGAACTTCACCAGTGTACGAGTGGCTGACTACACCCTTGGAGTTCTCTTTTCCTTCTATTTCGATTTCATTCCTTTTGAAGACTGCTCCAATTCTTTGTTGACAGAACTTATTGATGGATTTTGGTTTGGCTCAGATCTAACTCCACAGTTTGTAACTGCATTAGGTCCAGAATACAGAATCATATCTGGATCTTTTGAGAAGCTTCCACCTTGTAGTCGTATTGGACCAGAGTTTGATGAAACAATTGGTGACCGTCCTGGAGGAATATGGTGGACTTATGCAATCATACCTGCCATTGTGCTTGCTATTGTTCTCCTTCTGATTGGGTGCTGTGTGTTGATTTTCATGGGATGTTGCAGAAAGCAGAAACTCACAGGCGCAGAGAAAACAACTTTTATTTACAAGCGAAAGCCAGTTGTTCTTCAGGAAGAGTATGAGATCAAGGAACAACTATTGAAGCAGCCGATTGTCTTGCCAAACGAAAAACCACCGGTACCCCCTATGTATCCCCGCAGCCCTGTCCTAAGTGGTGACAGAACCCCACTCCTGATGGAGGAAATGAAGTCAGTACCTTACCAAGCACCAACATTTCTGTCTAGTAGACAAATGTCAAGTGGTGGTGGCTGTGGAAATTCAGGATTTGTGGCTAGTGGTGGTGGTGGAGGAGGAGGAGGAGGAGGTGGCTTCAGTGCAGTTAGTGGGGCTGCTGGAGGAGGAGGTGGTTTCAGTGCTGTTAGTGGGGCTGCTGGAGGAGGAGGTGGTCTTAAAGGCACAGGAGGTGGTGGTAGCAGTGCAACTTTTGGTGCTGGAGGAAGTGGCAGTGCAGGTGGTGGAGCTGCTGTGGGAGGTAGCAGTATGTCTGGTGGTGGTGCAGGAGGAGCTGCTGGTGCTGGTGGAGCAAGTGGTGGTGGTGCAGGAGGGGGTGCAGGAGGTGGGGCTGTCAGTTTTAGTATGGCCTCTGGTGGTGGTGGAAGCAGTTTTAGGCAAACCTCGTACAGCTACAGTTACAGCAGCAGTGGAGGCAGTGCATCCAGTGGAAGTCGTAAGGTAGCCTATGCTGGCTACAGACTACCTCCAGCTTATGTGCCACCATGAGCTTAAAAGAAGAGACCTGTCTTGCATTCTGAACAATTGAAATTGCATGCTGAAAAGACAGGCATTTAATTGGGTAGCTAAAAAAGTAATTTGTTAGAAAGTTTTTGTGAAAAAACTGATGGTGGAAAATTCTTACCAACCAAAGCATGTTTGCAATTTACAGTAAGTTTGTGAAATATGGAGATAATCTGCAAAGCAAGAAAGAAGAAAGCTTAAAAACCTCACTTCAGGAATGCTGCTTATTATTAGGAACGTGAATCAACAAGGACATTGAATGTTTCCAATGTTTGTATATCTGTTGACTGTGTTGCATTGGTAGCGAAGTAATTAACACTGGTTATTTAATGAGGAAACAACTCACAAATGTGAATATCCTGTAGTGTGGTATTCACTGTAAGTGATTTTAAGGTGAATAAGAGTGCAAGGGTGCTTATTTTAGCAGGGTTGAACTTTAACTCCAAGATTTGATTAATTTGTATTTCTCCCTTCTGACTTCTATACAATTCTTTGAAATTTGTTGAGAGAATTTGCTCTCATATCAAGGAAACACTCTTAATTTGATATAATTGTATATTCTCTTGACACACTCAGTCGGAGAATGTTATGCAAGTGTGAGGAGAAATTGTATGTCAATCACTCTTTGGAGTTAAAGTAACTGCTAATTGAAGTTCTCTTTGGAAACTGGTATTTGCAACTGTTTGCTCTTAAGGAGTGATATCAATAAGAACTTCCAACAAGAATTTGTTTTCTATAGACTGTTATTTATACATGGTGTAGAATTTCTTGGTTTGGTTTGGTAGGATGTAGATATTTTCAGTTGATTAATACAAGTTTACAGTTAAAATTGAAAGAGTCAAAGCCTAAAAATAAAATTTCACTTTTCGAAGTTCAAGTGTGTTAACAAAATTTGAAATTTATTTTTTGTAGAAAAAATGTATAGAAGAAAGTCTTGCGTGGCAACATAATTGTCTGACTTGAACAGATTCTCATACTGCCCAGCAGGTGTAGTTATCAGTTGTATTTACCAAAGGGCCTGTCATTGACCAACTTCATGGAAGTCGTTAATTTATTTGACGTTCAAAGAACATTTTTTAGCTCAAAGACAACCAGTGAAGGAAATCAATTTGTATGTTTTGATAATGTGTAGGACTATTCTTTCTTTGTGTAATTTTTTTGTTTTAAAAAATAGATATAATTTCAAATGTAGTGCTGTCTTAACAAATCGAAGAAGACTATCAGGTTTTTTGGATCTGAACTTTGTGATTTACATCTGAACTGACTGCACTGTGAAACAAAAAATAATAGAGTCAGGCGTGCCATTTTATCGGCGGTGGGTTGTGAATTATACTATACTTGTTACTATGTTAATAATATGTACAACGATGGAACTGTTATAACCATTTCATGACAGTTATATTTCTGCTTTTTTTTTCTTTTATGAATTTTCAGATATTGTTTTGTCTATAAGAAGTTTTTTCGCAGTATGGTTCCTGATTGTATGTTAAGTATTTAAAAGCAGACTGTTCTGGTATTGTCTTAATTGATTTAAAACATTAATCGGATTGTTTCTGAATATGTTGAAAACCGTAAGAAGTAGATTATTTGTACCTTTTGGTAAAAGCTTGTTCGAGCCTTTGCTTGTAAATTTAATTTGAACTTTAAACGGTTCACTGAGGTGAAAAAGTTCTTACGTTTCATTTATAACTTCAGCTTTTGGGAATGCTTTGTCTACGACAATTTTGGGGAAAAAAATAAACTTCGAATGTTTAATGTACTTTCTGTAAACCTTTTTTTGTGTTCGTTTAATTTCCTCACAAATGTTTTAGTGAATAGATTGCAACGTCAAACGGTTAACATAGGTTATTCAGGGCAACAGAAAATCGTAACATATCGGACAACCCTCCAGAGCTACCTCTCCAGCCACAACCTACTCTAGTTTACAGGCGCCAATCAGGCCTGGCAGTTAATATTACAGCAAACGACTAGGGGAAGGTCGAAAGGAAAGAAAGCGCCGCATGGTTGTCACTCGGAAAAATGAAAATACAACTTGAGTTCTGCCGCCACGTTAACGGAATATTGTCCCATCGCGTAATTTTGTTGCAAAGTGTGATTTGTGTTTCAAAAGCGACAATTTTGTGAACATACCTTTACACAGCACTATTGCAAGTAATTTCGCTTCCGGACTGTGAGACCTTCGCGCCTCGAACTAATGGAAGATGGGAAACATGCGTCAGGAACTCGTGGGATTTAAGAACGGAAGTAGAAACTACCGATAAAATTTTAGAAAAATTTCAGAAACTTGCACTACTCGAAAATAAAATTAAATTATCGATTGAGCTTCTCTGCGGAAATCACTCGACTTTCTCAGACGACCACAATAAAAATATTTTCAGACTGAAACCACAAGCCGCAATTTTCTGTAAGTGTTACCCTCCTCCAGGCATCCGGTACTCCCGTTCTTTTTAATAGGATAATAAGTAAAATCATAAACATACCTGTGGTCACCGAGTCGTGAGCGGATTACCTTTACGCCCACCACTAAACGGAAATGTGGTTTTACGTGCCCACTCCTTATTTCTTTAATCACAACTCGTCACTCTTTAAAGACACTTACGAAGCTTCTTACAAGAGTCACACCCAAATTGCAAAAGTTCTTTCGACCTGTCACGATTCTTAGCAGTTCCGCAAGTGTGGTCACGCATTCCTGTCCGGGAATGCGTGATCAGCTTATGGCAAGCCTTTCATCTGACTATCACGAGAGGGTTCTGACCGGACAAGAAACAAGCGACTGGGTCACTTCTTAAGTTACTGTCTTACGCAACTGGAGTGAAATAAAGGGATCAACACGGAAGCGAAGTGTATGTGACAATCGAAGACTCAAAACGGTGTTATTGTCCATCAAATTTTGTGCGGCTCGAAACGATCTCTCGTTAGCTTTTCCGGCTATCGACCGCTATCTGACGCCAGTTCACCTATTTTAAGACTCATATATAAAAAGAAAAATCTATTCTTGCTGCAATATACCTTAAGAATCCACTAATTTCTTCAGGCTAGACGCGTAAGAAAACCATCGTTATATTTTGCATCTGGATGTCTAATGGTATAATTTTTACGCGGGGAAAAATTTCGATAGAAAGTACCTCAGAAACAACGAAACAAGCAAGATTTTAACTTTCTTTAACAGAAGAATTGTATACCATTGGCACAATTTGAGAAGTCTGGATCTTTCAAATAAATAATGATAACCCATGCTCAAGTTTGTTCGCTCTATGTGATGCGACCAGAGCCGATTGTGTACAACCTCGGCGGAACCATGAAAATGGAATTTAGCAATTAACCTTATCGATTGAAGCTAAAGGTGACCTTAGACTGCGAGATAAAAAGTTAGATAATATACTTGTTTGCCAACTGTTGAGAAACGATAACTGTGATATGATACGCTTGTTTAATGGAACACGGGTTATTTAAATGTACTCTGGCAAAAGGTGTGTCTACAACTTTGCGATAACTGAGAAGTCCTTGATCAACTTCTAAAACTCTTTCGATCATAGAACAAAATTCGTTTGGTCTTAGTTCACAATTTTTTTCGTTAAGGAGCCTTTTTAAATCTGCTAACCAAGGGTTAATTCCTACCTGTAATTGCATTAGTATGTGCAGTATTGGAAAAAGAGCAATCTTCAAATTGATCCCCCATTACCCTCACTAGTAAATTTGATTTGGCAATTGAGAGCAATTCAATTTTACTCCAAAGACTTGAGGAATGCATTGTTGCGAAGAACTGTTTTTCTTCCTATGCACATATTTGCCCAATGTATTTTAATTTTGTTTGTTTTCGTGTCACCCATAATTCTCTTCCTCCAGGATAAAATTTCGTCTAAATCCCTTTTATTGCTACGCTCTTGTTATTTAAAGACAAGACCTGAAAGAAGCCTAACTTTTTTAGTTCTTAAAAGCAAATATAATCTGAAATACAAACAAAGTTCTGACAATTGCCAGACAATCACAACACGCACATTCTGAGATAAGAACTGTCTTTTCTTTTACACTTTAAAGCTGTGTTTGGCTTGGCCGTCTAGTTAACAAGGCCACAAAATTGTGAAAATACAAATTGATAACATGTCCTCAAAGAAAAGAAATACTCCACATATCTGGCGTTATTCACTGACCGAAACGTCAGAATATCTTAGCGTTACCCTCCTGGTTCTAAAATTCGGTCAAGCGAAGAGCTTACTTCAAATTCATCGTGAGTGGGATGTGATATGTGATGGTACAGAAGCTTGGGTCTTTTTTCGTCTTACTTCCCTCTGTAAAAAAGAAAACAAGGGATTTAAGAGGATTAGCGCAGCCTTAAAAAGAATTCCTCGTTGGGCTTATCTTAAACAAAATCCTTCCAACTTATAATGTGCTGGGTTCGTTGACCTTTATAATGAACAGTTGAGCACATGTGACGGGAAAATCGCACAGCTTTTGTCCAATCAGTGCTCGTCAGATGGAGGCAATTTGATACCGCCCAAACTCGCATTTCTGTCATCAAAGGTCAACCAGTGACATGAACAAATGGAAATCATAAGAACCCGCCATTGAGGGAGCAATTGATAACAGCGAGTGAGCGCGGAACATGGGTTGGTCTCGCGTAACACTACACGGCTATTCAAGGAATTAATTCGATTCCTATTGTTTGTAAACTTTGGCAGGTTTCACGCCGAAGTTGACTCCAAGACCTGACGGGCGATCTGTAAGCAAGCAGTCTTTCTGTTAGTAGGAATCTGGGATAGATTAGGTGGGACGTTTTTTAGTACTTATTCAATCTTTCATTGCGAGTGACTACATACCTTGTGTCAATTCGATAGGAATGCTTCGCGGTTGATTTGTCGTTTTGGAATTTGTATTTTGTCGCTCAGAGACTATTCATTGAAGTTCATTACGGCGTCCCTGATACCTCAGGGTGCAAATATTATTCTTTAAGGTTCACCCCAGCGATGTTCTAGATTCTTATTGGCAAACTGCGAATCGATCAAAGAAACAGGCCGAGGAGGTATAAATATAGAATTATCGATCCAGTAGGTGACAGCAGCCCATCAGCAATGGTAGGGCGAATATATGTCATAATACTTTCGTATTAAATCGCTTCCTTGATCAAGAAGTGAGCGGGCTAAACCTTTGATCGCACGTATGTCGAAATTCGCCAAATTAAGGGTGCTAACAATTATTTCTCTTGTCCTATCGTTTAATTTCACAGAGGCCTTGTGCTGTCCTAAAGGTAGTATCCCAAAGAGACATTGAAACAATATGGAGTTTCTCCTTGTTGGATTTCTGCTGATTTCCGCGGCGCTCGTAAGCGAGCAAAGCAACGTTCAATCGACTGAAAAAATCGAAAGCGCGACAGCTGTTGTAGGGAGAGTTTTTGTTTATACTTTGCCAAACGAGGGTGATCATGAAGCCATATCTAAGGTGAGTGATAACTTGCACACGGGTTGCTGACAAACCTATGTATGTAAGCGACATTTCTTTTGTGTTTGTATGCCGTTGGCTTAAGTACGGCTCTCTTTGTTTCTACACAAACCTTCCTCTTTTGTAAAATGCAACCATCGATGTTTCATACAAATATCTTAAAGCGGTTTAAATTCTCTGAAAGACGCAAATTTTGCTCTAGTTGCTAGAACCCTGTTGCTTCAATTATTAAAACTAATGATCTTTCTGAAGAATTTTGAAAATAATCTTAAAATCTGTTTAGCATTCGAATTAATTCGTTCTAATGATAATACAATTCGCACGAAAATAACTTATTGTTCATTTAGGTGAAAGCCAAGCACGTTTACTCGAAGCCTTATGTGTTTAAAAAGTGCAACTTTTTAACATACCGCATGTGACAACAAGAAGATACTCAACTTTCTCGAGTGTTTGTGAGCGAAGGTGGCTTCTTCTGTGTAACTCACGATTTTAGACAATTTACTTTCAAATATTAAGCGAACAAACGTGTTCATAATTTTTTTAGTTAGGATTCATAATTGGCAGAGTCTTGTTTCGCGGGCACGCTCATGGTGTCATTTGCCGGGTTGGAACAAAGGAATAGGGTGTAGAATGAAGAAATAAAAACCCGCTGAAGTGTCAAGCAGATGAAACACAGAGAGCATACCATTCATAGCACAAAAATTCTTTCCAAACCGCGTTTTATTTGATTCGCTACCGAAAAGGTTTTATCGCCAATTCATCTGTGAACGAACTTGAGAAGGAAAACCTTCACTAAAGCTTGATTTCGGAGGAATCGTTTAGTGCACACTAACTTAAAATGAGTCATAGTTCTTGTACTTTTTTGTTGTTTCTTTCGGGACAATAATTCGTGGTTGTCTGTCCCACATGTGGTGTCTGGCTCTGGGCATGAGTACAGAATATATCACTTCCGGTGAAAACTTAACAGGATCGTGAAAGACCCCACATGGAAATCGATATAAAGCAAAACATTGATAAAATTTTCTAAATGATTTCAGAGTTGTGACGGTCGATTTTATCGATAGAGGTTCCGAATATTTCTATCTCTCGCTCTCTCTCTCTTGCGCCTTGACAATGCGTGATTTCTGGACGAAGCACTCATGCTAACAATGCGCCGTTTTGGAACTTGCCGTTAGAAATTATACTTACGTAAATTCGTTTTTTGCGGTCATGGTATGGTCGGGTGATTTCATTGATATCATAAGAAATCAAACTTATCGCACGAGTGTAATGCGTGATCCACATTGTTAAATATTGCGTAACGAGTGTATATAAGTCTTGTTAAGGGTTTAATATACATCTTTAAGCCCAATATCGGAAATCATGCCATGGACGAATATTTATGATGTCTGCCGCAGCCTTTGTTTTACCTTCTTTTCATTTAATGCGGTTCCCTTTTGTTTGATATAAATATGTCTGATTGTTTTATGGTCAAGTAGCTTTTGAAAATGGTCGTAAAATTACACCATTGTGCTTGAATGAATGCAAGGAATTAACGATCATAAATTAATGATCCACTTTTTCCTGTCAAATAGCTCTTTTGACCGGAAAATTGATTTCGTGAGAAGCTTTCATTCCTAAACTAGATTTCTCTATCCATGAAGGTCATCACAGCATGCTCTTTAATTTTAATTTTATGAACATGAAAACAACATTTGTTTTCAACCAGCCAGGGAGTTTCTGATTAGTCAAGTTTTGGTCCAAACTTCACGTGAAACCAGCTCAAACATAATAGAAATTTGGAGAAAATTTGACAAACAGCAAACGACAACAATATGAACTTTTTTGTTTGTCTTTTAGCCTTTTTGATGTAACCATGAAAATACCGTATTTTGCTTTAATTTTCTGTTGGCTCTACCCAAGGTTGATGAAAATTGAGCGAGAAGATGGGTATATTTTGACCTTCGCATTTGTGGTAAAAGTGCTCTAAATATATCTGAAACAAATATGGGAACAAAACCTCGTAAGATCAGAACAAATATAAAATGTTTTCGCGTATATTACATCAATCCCTTAAATTTTTATTGAACCATAACACGTATATTTGTACACAGGAAGAACAACCAATTAGATTGATTTAGTTAACATATTTCACTTGACTTCTTCGATGAAGTTGGGAATAGCAGAGTGTGGGAATATTTGTCAGGGTGAAAAAAAAAAGAAACATTTGGTGAGAAACGTTCGTTTAAGGTTAAGTATTTGTGACCAGTGGTAAAGGCCAGCCGAAAGGGTAGTTGTCTCGCGGTTGTTAATCGAATGTCACGCAACGAAGCTACTGTTGCGTGATGTCCGAAGGAAAAACTTGCTTCTGTGACATGGTAGATAAATTTTGGGCAAGTCAGCACATCCTCAATTGTCGATAAATGAAGTGGAAATAGTCTGCAATATTGTTCCATTAATAGTAAGTTATCGCATACAGTCTTGGAAGGACGAAAATCTTGATTAATCACCTTTCTACTTTTTCTTTTATCAGGCAATCCAAAGAGTACAAGAGACTCTACCGCAATGGCTGTCTTTCAATGCGGAAAAATCTGCACTCCTTGGAATTCCCTCATGGCGTGACAGAGGCGGAATTTTGATCGATTTTCAATCGCAAGATGGAGTTGTTGTTCATTCATTGCAGATCGAGATCAAAGACTTGCGTGAGGGAACGTCACAGTCGGGGCCACACTCAAACAACAGCAAGGAATTTTCTTACTCGAAACCGAAATGCCCTAAGGGACTACCTGTCGCAGCGGCCTCGATTATATTAGACTATCACTTGGAAAAAACTACGGGGTTAACGAGGGTAGAGATTATGAACAAAGTGGGCGAGTTTGTCAACGTGGATGTTGGAAATCTGCACATGTTGGCGGGAAAAGGACACAACACGGCATTCGGGCTCAAGGATGTTATAACTGTCACAGCAGGCCCAGGAAATGTAGGAGATCCCAAACAGTCGGGTGTGGTTATCTCTTGGCAGATTGGATGCGGAATTGATATTCCTATTGCTGGTAAGGTTCTTCGTGATTATCTGTTATGAACTGTCACGCAATTCTGCGTCACGGACTTAAAAAAAAAAAACTTATTTGTTTTTGGTCACGTCAAAAGTGAATCTCAAGTCCCGTAGTCTTGATCCTCCTCGGTACATAGTTCTGAGGCTGAAGAGCTCTGTTTTAAGCATTCGAAATAGCGGAGACTTTGCGTTCCCAGAGTTTAAAAAATGACGGCGATTTGCTTTTATGTAAAGCTGGTAACTGTACCTCTGTTGATTATCCATGATCCTCGACACCGTAAATGACGGAAGAACAACTTACCAGCTGAGCATGTCTTCCCATTAACCTGTCCTCTGTAACAACTGCAAAATTAAATAGGAAATACATGAACGAGTATGCCTGAGATTATGACGGGCTTGGTTTTTAGATTTCACTGAGTAATCTAACTTTGGAAAACTGTCTTCAAATGTATGTGGGATTCAACTGGGGGCGCCGCTATGTTGGAATCTCTCTCACCGACTTGTTTTCAAGATACTTTACAAGATGGGGGCGTCTGGCCTCTCAAGTTAAAATTTCAAGCTTATTTGAGGAAAAGTTTTGAACGGTTAGGTTATTCATTGGAATCTTTAAACGCAATTAGTGGTAATTTTTTACACGAAGTTTTTAATGGCGGAGAAGAAATGATACGGTTTCTCAATTTGAAGCTTACTCCTTTGAGTTTAAAGAAGGATTTTGCTCTAGCGATTTTCCATCAATTCTTCACAGCCATTTTAAATAACGGACAAACCCTCGATTTGATTTGATATCAGAGGTCAGTGAACTTTTGAAGACAAAATTGTTGATTTGCCTGTTTTCGTAGGAGTACGAATAGCCACCTTCCTCAAATCAAGCGCAGAGACTGGAGCCTTCGGTCCAGTACTTGGTCTCCCTGTGACTGAGTGGCACATATCCATTGGTTATCCTAAAGAACCTCGCCAAAGATCACGTAGGCAAGTCTCGCGTGACAGTTCTCCTAAAGTTGTTAAACGATCAACGAAAAGAAACGTCCGAGCGATTCAGCCAACTCCTACTCCAACTCTGACCGCTGCTCCTCCCACTTCGGTCGTCGCCAGTGTCACAGTAACTATTACAAGGACAAGTTCTGTTGTTCCGACTTCAACTGTAGTCCCGACTACCACTCCGGTAGCTCCGACAACCACCGAACAATCGACGACGACACAGCAGCCAACCACTACGCAGCCACCTACAACGACAGACGAACGGACCACAACCGAGAAACCGACGACCACTGAAAAGCCCACGCAGTCAATAATCACGACAGTAGAACCGACCACCCCCAAAGAGACGACTATTACCGAAAAACAGACAAGCACTGCAGAACTAGACACTACCAAACCAACGGCGGTAGAATTGACGACTACTAAAGAAACGACCACCACCGCAGAATCTACGACAACCGAGCGAACGACCACGAAGGAAAAACCTTCCACTACCGAAAAACCGACTCCCTTCGAGAAATCAACTACCCCAGAGCTTACCACCACAACACGAACGTCCACGAAAGAAACGCCGACTACTACCGGAAAATCGACTACTACGGAACAACCAACTACCCCGACAAAACCGACCACAACCGAGCGAGCCACGACGACCGAACAGCCGAGCTTTACAACCGGGACTACGACCACTACAGAAAAAGCGACAACAACAGAACAAACGACAACAACAGAACAAACGACAACAACAGAACAAACGACAACAACAGAACAAACGACAACAACAGGACAAACGACAACAACAGAACAAAGAACGAAAACATCAGCGCCAAGCACGACTACTCTATCGACCACTCAAAAATTATCAACCACAGGGCAACCAACAAGACCTCCTACCAAAGAGGTGTCACCAACCACCAACGATTTCCCATTCACGGTGAACGAGATTGGCGCTCTTTATCTTTATAGAGGCCAAGTGTTTCGGTTCCATATCCCTTGGGACACTTTTTATGATAATCAAGATTTTTTTACCCCAAACTTGACTCTTGAATTAAGGACGCACAATTTTAAGTTTCTGGAGCGTGAGTACCCTTGGATCAAATTTGATGCCAAAGAACAAGTGATTTATGCCTTTCCGATTGACCAAAAAACAATTGCCATTCACGAGTTTATGATGATCGCGCGAGATAAAAAGGGAGAAATGGGTTTTGATGCATTCCAGATTAACGTTCTGAATGATTCATCAGTCTCCTACAATCATCAGTTTACTCTAGAAGTCGACAATGATTACGACGAATTCTCCAAAGACTTTGACGACCAAATGGAGCTTGTTACAAAGCTTGCAAAGTATTTCAACGTGAACTCGAGTAGTATCAGAACCGCTTCATTCACTGCTGGATCTGTGGTGATGAAATTCCAGTTCGACTCATCAGTGGTTCCCTACGACGAGTGTGATTTTCCCGAGAGAGTAAAATTCCTTTCTGAGGATGGCGACGATGTTAATTCCGATCTTAAGAAGGCTCTTGAACCCAAGTTCCGAGTCAAATCAGGAAAGTTTGAAGGTCTCCGACCCTGCGGAGACGTGGTGGACGTGCTTCCAGCAACAAGTTCAGGTCAGTGGAAGACCTACGTGATCATCCCCGTGGTGATTCTTGCAGTGGTGCTCCTAGTGGTGGGAATATGTCTGTTCCTTGTTTTGCGGTCGCGTAAGAGACGAAAGCTATCTTTAGAAGATCAACAGCTCTTTGTGTACAAACGCAAACCGGCTGTGCTTCAGGAAGAGTATGAGGTGAAAGAAAGACTCCTCAAACAGCCCCTCGTTTTGCCGAACGAGAAGCCACCACTTGCTGCCCCAGTTCATCCAAGGAGCCCCTCCTTAAAGCACCAAAACGGCGATCCTCCCCAGTCCCCATCTTATCAGGCCCCGTCCTTTACGTCATTCAGACAGCCGAGTAACCAGGGAACTCCCAATGGAAACAGCCCACGGAAACCCGGGTATTCGGGATACCGGTTACCCCCGGCGTATGTACCCCCTTGAGAACAGTTAACCACATAGGACCGCCAGTTACTATCATATCACCTGGAAAAAATGAAGAGAGAGGACGTTATATTCACCAAAACTTAAAACTGAATTATTGCTCGTGTTACCGTTATAGAAACTCGACGATTTCCATCTGAAAAATTGCAATCTGTTGGTATTTTCGGTAATCAAGCTTCCTCGCTCAAACGTGATATTCTAAGTTCTTTATGTGCCAACTGTGAAGCACTAAGGAGAGCGAACTTAGGCCTCTTATTATTAAATTCTCTTTGCGAATTTCTTCATCTCAGTTTGGTGCATAGTTGCGCCAGTGTTTTGTTCATTCCGACGTCTAATTAGGTCGTTTAAAATTCTCAAATTAACCGAGAACTAGATTGAAAATCAAGCTTCTTTGTTCATTAGGAGAATAAGTGATTAAATCCTTTCTAAGTCAGTCTTGTTTGAAAAATAACATTACCTCACGAATTTCCAGAATCTGAAAATGTAGCAACACCCTTATTGTCGAGGATTTCCGTAGTAATTAAGCGGCTCTAAATAAGTAATTAAGCTATGAAAAAGGACTAAACCACAATTTATCTTTGCAAAAATGCGTTAAAAGGAAGAGAACATAGGAGCGGTGCAGAGAAAATATTCCAGCATTCCACATTGTTAAGGAATTATGCAGCTTAAAGATTTCGAATCTCGTAAATATCACACACGTTTCCGTCAATGTGGATGCTGTTTTGTTTATTACCCGCTTATCAAAATGTATGTAAATCTATACCAAGGTTATAATCTTTATACCAGTCTAGCTAATTTTAAAAACGCATTAAGAGATTAAACTGATAATTTTAAGGCTGATATGTTGTGTTAGTAGTTGATCTTCAGCCAAAGGTAGAGATGAATGTACCGGCAAAGTTTGTTTTACTTGCCCCGCGTAGGAATTAAGCAGTTTAGATTAAACGAATCTCGGGAATAAGAGCTTTGTAGTATCACGTCATTTTAATCTTCTTCATCCATAGCCATAATGGTTTCTTGATTTTTTGTATGGGCTTTTTAGGTTGTACATTTGCGACTTCCACGCATACGCTGTTGTCGCACACGAATTGCAAACAACTCACACGAGCCAGTAAGTCAACAGCTAAGAAAAAAAACGGCCAATAAACAGGATACCTATACTTGAATGACCTCTGTGTTCGGAAAGTCTTAAGCTTTCCTTTTCACTACTAATTTCTGTGAACGTTTCATTTTTCTTTCGGCTTTTAACCTTTGAGATTTGGGCGGGAATATTGGCGCGCGGCAGGCCAGTATTCCCCTCACGCATGCCCGACGTTTGACCGCTGTGCTGGAACCAGCTGGGATTCGAACCTACTTTCGTGTAAATAGCGATAAAGATTGAATGAAAAACACTGGAGAAAAACCTAATTTGTTTCAGTAAGGTTAATTTCTAAATATTCAGTTGCCTTCATACAGTTTCAAAGTAGCGATCAAGGGGGCTGATTTCGGAAAAACGGTTTCTAATTCAACTGTCTCTCTGAAGCGACGAATGGTAGTCGAGGAAGATGGTACCAACAAAGTAAGAATCCAATAACTGTCTCCCAGTTTCGGTAAATTCAATCTTTAATTCAAGAGTTAGTGCAGCATTAGTACAAAATCATTATGCGGACAAATCGTCTTTGTTATTAGAGTTCACGGTGCCCCATTACAAGCTTCTATACAAACGCGATTTGAAATAAAATGGTGTCCCTGTGCCAGTAACCTGTGTACCTTATTATTATCAATTATTACTAAATTTTATCAATTTTGTGCCTCGAGTTTATATTACATTACAATCTTGTCTTCGTGACTGAATCAAATTCGCAATAAGTCTATATTTCGCTCACAATGCAAATGTTCATTTTTTTTTTCTTTTTAAAAATTCTGTTTACATTTCTCCTTTGCTCCGTTCTTTTGTTCTTCTTTGTTTTGTTTTTCTGTCCTTTTTCTCTCCAGCTCGAAAAGAAAGCGTCATGGCAACGTCATCTCGCTATTTCCTTTTCAATTGTAGCAATTTAGTTTCGGAATTTGAACAAAATTTAGTGTGCCAAATGAACCAAGCGTTACAGAGTGTCACTGAGTTACCTTCCTTGGAGTCAGCGGAAAGGTTTAAAGTTAAAGCTGAATGAAAGCTATTTTGTTTATCGATAAGGGAACATGAAAGAATAATGCTATTGGGTCTTTAAATTTAAAACTGGCTAGGCTTTATTGGCTAGCATGACGTCACATAACACGTCACGCTGCATATAGTCACACAGTCCTTGTAAGGATTCTAAATCTGAATTTCTTTACTCAGCATTAAAGGCAGATAAATGCATCACCGATTGTGTTCGCAAGGAAACTTGTTAGAGACCATTAAAAACCGGTGAAACTACGATTATTTACAATTTTGGAAGGGACAAAATAGCTGTCAAAGTCGTACCCACAACAATTCCATTGCATCGTTCGAGTTCTTAACCACGCGATCCTGATGTGAAAATCAAACCCCAGTTATTTCAAGGACCGAAATACCCGCCCATCTACAAATAATGTTGGTGGTTTGGATTCAAAGCTATAGAACTAACGTGCAGAATTTACCCTCAAGGCTCTACGAAATGTCCGATTTATCGCTTTTGCTAAACCCTGAAAGCCACTTCGATACATTCCTGTCCTGCTCTAACAAGCTGGAAACTCTGGTTTTGATCAGACCGACCATAGAATTATCTGTTTCGATGTATTCTTCTTGTTCTTCGTCCTCGTCACCGAGTGTGAACACGACGGGTGGCTTCTCTCGGGTGTCTCTCGTATTCCTAGAGAACAGCGAACCAACATCGGACAGAAGCGAGTTTCCTTGCTTCGCTTTACTCTTTGGCATGGTTCCGTTCGGAATTCCGCCTTTGCTTTTTCCGAATGAAGTGAAAAAGTCGTCTTTTGATTTGGCTCGTTGGTGATTCCAGTTGGTCTTCGCGTTGTATTCGTCATCGTCCCAAAAGTCGAGCGTCGATTGGCTAGAATAACTATTAGTTCCCAAGCCACCGAGAGACGACCTCCTATGCTGCGCGCGGGTGGGGCCTTTACTGTACTGATGTGCACAGGGATTGACATATTCTTGATACCTTACTTCATTTAAAGTGTAGCTTTCTATCCTGGGATCATTTCGTTCTTTACTAGCGGGAACATGATCCCAGAGGGTTGTAGGTTTTGCGAGACAGGGCGTTTCCTCGTCAAAATCAGCGTCAAAAATTGACTTCTCGTGTTCTGTTTTTTCTTCTTGACTGAACTCACTGGGTGCATCAAACAAAGAATCGGGATATTCATCAAAGTCGCTCCCTATGGAGTATTTTCTATTACCTTGTTTTTCATTGTGAAAGAAATTAAAACCGTCGTAATGGTCAGCGACTGCTTTTTGTTGATAACCAGAGCATACACTTTGTCGGCGAGTCGGTGTATTGTGCTGTGAAAGTTTGTACTCTGAAGTATTATTTTCCCGACCAAGAGAATAACGGAATTCAGAGTTTTCACTTCGCACCAAGTCGTGCCTTTGTCGGGCGTCATCGTAATGACCTCGAATACATCGCGTGTCTTCGTATTCCCGAGTCTTGTAAACGTACGACTCATCGTCATAATCGGAGTCGTCATATGTAGCTTCGTGGGTTACATCGTATTGAAGATCTTGTGTTTCCTTTCTATCCTCGTTCTGCGCGACAGTAGAAAGATTCAACATAGATTTGCCAAAATCCATCAGCTTGGTCGAGAGGGAAGGCGCGGCCGAAAAAGTTGAATACGCCGCGCCTGTCGTGTCGTTCGGTGCTGCAGACAGATTAAGCATAGACTTTCCAATCCCTTTCAACTTAGATGATAAACTTGGTTCAGGATCTGAAGACTCGCGTGTAGGCTTTGCCTCATCTTGTTGGCCAGTCTCGGCCTGAGGGATGTTCAACATTGACTTCACACCTTTTATCTTGGTAGAAATATTCTCTGCAATGTCAGAGAAGTTCATATCCAGAACCGCATCTAACATCGACGGCTCGGCCTCCTCGGTGTTTCTGTACGTGTAATACGTGGGTATGTTCAGGGGGGGACGTTCCGAGTCGTCATCGTCGTCCCACATTTCGCGTACATTGAACGATCCTTTGTCCCGGTTGTAAGGAAATTTAAACGGGTTTTTGTGATTGGGAGAGTTTTTGCTGTTGTCGTTTGCAGCAACTGCACCCTGTCTGGGGCGATTTGCAGTCGAGTTTGGTACCGTCAAATGTCGACTCGAGGGGCTACCATTGGGGACATTTGCCTTCGCACCGACGCCTCTTTCGTCCTCGCCGACGCCATCTTCTTTCGAGTTATTGGAGACTGATAGCATTGAAGGATAACGGTTGTTAAAATGAACGGTATGCGATGTTAAATCTGTCATTCCGTCCTCGTTTCTTGGACGAAGGGTTCGCAATGTTCTTCTCTCTTTCACAACTGGACGCTTAGTTCTCATGTATCTATTTACAAAACACGAAATGCCAACAGGAATTCCGATCACAGATACCAGAATGGCGATTGGCATAAAAATTGTCAGCCAGCCCCACTCGAAAGGTGGCTCGGGTCCCAATAAGTTAGGATCGCAGGCTCCAAAAAATCTGAACTGTGCGCTCTTGACTGGGAAACTATTAGTCAGCGCTTTCTGAAACTCCTTCTTAAGCTTCTTTGTGTCCTCGTCAATCACACTCGATTTCAGCTTTTTGTACGTGTTCTCATCACAAGGAGAATAAGGAATATTGCTGAATACGATGGTTAGATTCCTGGACGCCTTGTCGAACGACTTCACGTAAATTATTTCGGGTTTTTCGTTGAAACAGTAACGTGCTAACTTCTCAGCAAAGCTAATTCTCAGAGCCACCTTTGTCATAAACTGCTGAAAATTTATTCCCGTGGATAAAATCAGTTCATGGCTATGTTCAACTTTCTTAGCTTTTACACGGAGCTCAAAAGTAACATTAAAAACTGAAGCCCCTGTCTTGTAGTTAGCGATCATTTTGTAAAAGAATCTGCCAGCATTTCCTGGTAAAGGAAAACCGTAGACTTCGCGTTTTCTTGGATTGAACTGGACCCATGATGATGGGAGAATGTCTCCGTAATGAAATGTCTTCATAATGAAGCGAACGTTTGTGATATCCCTTTTTTTCAAGGCGTCTACAATCTCTTGAGGAATGGGTTTTCGAAAAGTTTGCCCAACATATGCTATGATAGGCTTTGGTGTTATTCTGGTGGTTGTTGAAGTAGGAGGACTTTTTCCCGCGCCCGTGGAACTTGAATTAGCTAACAATGGATGCTCGGTTGAGTTTATAGACACCAGCGAGAAAAATAACTTGAGAACCGCTAGTGCTTTTGACATTGGAGAAGAAGCGTCTCAGCTTCATGAGCATGGACGATCGGTTCAGATAATGCTCTGGTTAAAATTGCTCTTCAAGGATATTCGTTGAACAATTCCAGCGATGAGTCGTCGACAGAAACACCTAGAAAAAAAAACAGCAGATTATTTCTTTTTCACGCTAGCATCATGGGGCGGG